AAGTGATAAAGAAGATTAACTGATCGCTGTACTATTATTATTATGTAACAAATAACGGGGAACAGAACTCAACAGAACGTCTGTGAACCTAAGGAACGAATAAAATCCAGTGGCCAGAAAGCTCTCCAAACTGCTGCAGTTCTCCAAAATAACTATTAAAATGCTGATGAAAGAATTCAATATCGACAGATTTCCAAAATCATCTCGACGACGAAAGGATGGCCGCCGCCGGGGCGACTCAGAGCGCAATTTACAGGGACCAGACCATCTCGAATGCCTTCGTTATGCCAACATCATAAGTGTTGAAATGCAGCAAACCGGCCAGCAAGCAGATGCTGAGCAGATACGAGAACGGCCCTTGCACGATTTTGGCCAGCGCCGGACCCAGCACGAATGGACGTCCATAATCCTACAAGGCCAATAACAGTGAAAAGATAAGATTATATAACAAAAATAGGCGTAATTTTTTTTTTTCTTTCTTAGCATCAAAGCTGAAGTTAAAAAATCCGAAAAACAGCGATAAAATCAATGAAAACACGTCTAATTCATCTAGCGCTTTTAACAAACCCGCTCAAATAATTCGGGCTATCAATGACCACAACAGTACCATGACACAGTCAACCACCAGCAGACCCATCTTTCTGGAACTGCTTGTTTGGGGACTTCATTAGTGCGCAATCTCACCAGGGATCTTATTATTTACTATTCATTATTGTTTTAATAAAATCAGTTTAACTTATTCACGCTCAAATTCAAGACCCCCCCCCCCCTTTCCCTGTTTCACTCTCTGTAGGAGGCAAGGTACTTGGGAAATAGCCATTGCCCATACTTACTAGAAAAGCTGTCGACAACTCCCTCCACTTTGAAGGTTGCTTACAAGAAAGCTAATTGCGGATTTTACTCAAATGCATATGTTAGTACCAATTATCACCCCCAACAAATGAACTATCCTAGGATTATTTGCTTTCCCTGCGGAATCGAACCTTCGATTCACTACGCGACAGTAGTGCTACTTTCCACTGCGCCATTTCCACAGGTCTTCATCGACCGATCTAGCAGAAGGAGAGGCGAGGGATCTTTCGAGGGGGAACAGGTAGCAGCTGTTTTACTGTAGAAAACTCTGTTCAACACTTCGTGTCACCCTCCCCCCCCCCCCCCCCCCCCCCCCCCCCCCCCCCCCCCCCCCCCCCCCCCCCACCCCCCCCCC